AAAGGACAACAGGATGTGCTAAGTCCTTCTCTCTCCTGCAGCCTGGCAGTCTGACAACAGGGCATCCAGCCAGAATAGTTTATAGGAAGCAACCAACAAGCAGAAGTCTTCTCAGAGTCCCATGTCTGTGTCACAAAGAGGAAGATGGGGTCAACTTGCTGTCTAGAGACAGTAGCTTCATAGGAGGCATAGGTTACTGGGAATGGAGCATGGATATAAAGAAGCAACCGTGAAAATCGAGTGTGTGCACCAGGGGTAATTAAGAGAGGATTCAGGAGCTGGGAGTAAGGAAACAGAGGAGAATTTCTGACACTTCTACTCTGTCAAGGAATCTTCATGACATTGAGACTGCAAGTTGAAAGGAAGACAATAAATCTCAGTTTAGCTTGAGGTTAAGATCATGATTCTGGTGTTCTTGCTAGGTGTTACACGCATTTTGTAGTGAACTTGGGGTAAAGTTAGAGAATGAAAGAAGGAGTTCTCATGATGCACCAGCAGGGACGTCTATTCAGCATCACTCAGTGCCATTGGTTGTTACTATGTTGTCTAGATAGTCAAATGCAATAAGTGTAAAACTGCCCCTCTGAACCACACTCTCAATGGTAGTACAGCAGTGCATTCAAAGTGTGTGTCTTCACTCCTGTGGTAAATCACACACTTAGAGAAATGCTCTAAGGACTTACTTAACTGTGCCTTCACCCCAGAATAAAGTGAGGGCAGCAAGACTCCGTGTTCCATGAGGAAGCATAACATGGTTAAATTCATCCAAAAGAATTTTGCTAAACCACATGTAGAATGAAAAATATATTTTTCTCATTAACCAGGAAAAGGAGGCTGCATGAGAACGTGCCTTGATTCAACTTCAGCAACAATGATGGTTTTGAAAGAGTGCCTGGCGAAGAATGCACACATTGTGTCCATGCTTCTTCATGAGTGTTCTTCACACTTCTCCACAAATACTCGTAAAAGCAGAGGACAGTGAATTCCAGGGCCCCTCCCGTAATACAGAGCAGAGCACCAGAAGTATACAAAATGGTTGAAATCTTGGGTTTCATTACAAAAATATATCCTCATTTTCTATCTATGATATCAGTTTATTATAATGAAAGCATGCTTTAAGTTAATGATCAGTTATTTAAATATTTCCCCCTGTAACATTGATTAACATTAATGGTTCCGGAAAATTCACCCTGTATATCTTATAGATTTACACAACTCTGATATTTAATACTCCAGGGGTTACTGTCATTCCAGCTGTCTCTTGCTCCCTGCCAAACCACTCCAAACTTAGTGATTTAGAATAACTGTTTTATTCTATTTCATAATTTGTGGGTTAGGAATTTGGCAGAGTTCCACTCAGAGTTTCTGCTGCTCCTTTACTGAGGCCGTTGGGTGACATTTAACTGCTGGGCAGGCTGCTCAGGTGGGTCTAGCATCGGTCCCGGGGAGACAGCCCCTGAGGCCACCTCCCTAGCATGGATGCCTTGGGGTAGCTAGACTTCTCCCTTGGTGACCGAGGGTCCCAGAGAGAGCAGCACTAGTTGGAAGCTCTCAGATTTCTTATGAACTTGCTCTGCAGACTTAGAATACCATTGTCACTTTATCCAAATGGTTTCCACCTGTCACTGTGAGAAGCAGGAGGGGCTCTGAGGCCACCTTTAATCTGGTACATCTAGTTTGAGAACCAAGTGCTCACTACTCTCAGTGTGTCCTGGAGTTAGGCCAGATCACTCCACAGTTACACGTATGATGAATTGCCTCTCTTTGTGTCCATGTCACTTTGCTTTCACTGAATTGTTTTGGCCTCTGCTACTAGGAAGAGTTAGAAGAAAAGCCTGTATGTGTCATTATGAGTGTTCACAGAGGTAGTTCTGAAGGGCTTTGGCTTCTATCCAGGGGCTGCTCGGTGCCAGCCCAGGGAAAACTGCTCTGTGTTCTGGGTACCAGAACAGCCACGGCTCTTTCATGTTTCTCAAGTCCTGCAGCTCTGTGACTTATATTTCCTTTTTGCCTTTACTCCAGTAAAACCTCTTCAGTTTTCCTTTATGTCCTAATTGCTACATATTTTTTATACTTTACATTTTATGGTTGCTTAGTATGTGACATCTATGGCAGGGAGATATAAGCAAGTAAATTAAGTATAGATAAATCAAGAACATGAAAGAACATGCAAGTGGAAGCCCCAGCCTTATGGCTTTGTCCTAATAGGAGGCGGCATGTGGACTTCAGTGTGGTCTCTGCTCCCTTGGTGACCAGGGGGAGGTGATCCAGTCACTGCAGCCCCTCTAATAATTCGATTCTTATGTGACAACAAAGTCTCATAAAAGCAATTACTATGTCATGAGGTTCCTTGAAGTTTAAACAAGGTGTTGTAGAAGAATACAGTTAATCTAGTGTCTGTTTCTTGGAAGCTTCCACAAATAGTAGCCATTATGATGACTTGGAAATTGTTATTTAAAGTTGTATTGTCCTTCAGTGTGATTGTGTTTGTATTTTGTGTTCTCAACTAGAAGGTATTCTTGGTTTTAGGTAAAGAATATGCTGTTGGATCTGTACCCATAATATCTAACACAGAGTCTTATATGAGAATGGTTAACATGCTTGTGCTTGGTCAGTTGGCGGTGGGGACACTTTCTGTAGAACAAAACTTGAACTATGGAAAGAAACATCATCTCAGCTCATGGGAAGGAGAAGTGATCTACTTCATTTTTGGAATTGTTTTTGAAGTTTTGTAAAGTTTATGGAGGTTTAAATCTATAGCAAAGGAGACAAATTTATTATAAGTAATACAAGATTTGTTTGAGTTTCACATTATGTTTAGTTAGGAGTAATGGGAAAGGAAGAGAGAAGATGGAAAGAAGCAAATGGGAGAAAAATAGAAGAAAAAGAGCAAGACTAAATGGGGAAAGTATCAGGTACTTAGGAATTAAATAACTAGACAAGAAGACTTCCGCCAAGATGGAGGTTTAGGTGGATCTGCCGTGCCTCCTCACACAACCAAGTTTAGGGACAACTAAATATTAGCATCAGAAAACACAACCAGAACACGGAAAACTGAACTTTTTGGAAGTCCGCTAACAACAAATTCTTCAGCCCGACTGGTAAGGGGCGAAACCGGCGTCTGGTGAGGAGTTACAAAGGAGGGCTCGGTGGGACCCGGGCGCGGAATCCAGAGGCGCAAATCCAGTCGCACGGGTTCCAAACCCAGGATTGGACCTAGTGAGCGACCGAGCAACCCACCGGGTGAGCGACTGCAGAGGAGACAGTGGGGAGGCGGTGAAGCGTGTTGACTGCGGTTGCCTAATTGCGCGCGAGCGAGGGAGTGGGCGGTTGGACCGGCCGCGGCGGCGATAGCGGCCAAGGCGATAGAGGGCGCCGCCATTTCCCCGCTCTGACCACGCCCCCACATACAACGTCACAACCAAGCGACCTGGGACTCCAAGGCGCCGCTTCTCCCACTTAAAGGGCCAGAACAGACCAAAAATGTCGCAGGAAGACCTCAAAGCCCCAGAGATAAATCTAAGCGATGAAGAAATAGCAAAACTCTCAGACGCACAGTTTAAAACACTGGTCATCAGCTTCCTCATAGATCTGGTTGATTATAGCCACAAATTAGAGAAACATATGAAGGCTAAATTAAGGGAAATGAATGGAATTCCACAGGAAACCCATAGAGATGAAAAGGAAACTGGGACTCAAATCAATGGAGTGGACCAGAAGAAACCAAATAATGGCCAAACAGAAAAGAGTCAAGGAGCAAGAATTCAAAGAAATGAGGAGAGTCTTAGGAACCTCCAGGACATCTTTAAACGCTCCAATATCCGAATTATAGGGGTACCAGAAGGGGGAAAGACACAACCACCAGTGGAAAAACTATTTGAACAAATAATAAAAGAAAATTTCCCCAATCTGGCAAAGGAAATAGACTTCCAAGAAATCCAAGAAGCCCAGAGAGTACCAAAAAAGTTGGACTCGAGAAGAAACACACCAAGGCATATCATAATTACATTAGCCAAAATTAAAATGAAGGAGAGAATCCTAGAAGCAGCAAGAGCTAAGGGGACAATCACCTACAAAGGAGTCCCCATCAGGCTGTCAGCAGATTTCTCAAAAGAGACCTTACAGGCAAGAAGGGGCTGGAAAGAAATATTCCAAGTCATGAAATCTAAAGACCTACAACCAAGATTGCTCTATCCAGCAAAACTTTCATTTAGAATGGAAGGACAGATAAGGTGCTCATTTAGAATGGAAGGACAGATAAGACCAAATTCAAGGAGTTCATCATCACCAAGCCGTTATTATATGAAATGTTAAAGGGACTTATCGAAGAAAAAGAAGTTAAAGAAACATGAACAGTGAAAGGACAACAAACTCACAGTTATTAACAACCACACCTAAAACGAAAGCAAACTAAAAGGACAGCTAGATCAGGAGCGGAAACATAGAAATGAAGATCTCAAGGAGGGTTAGCAACAGGGGAGTGGGAGGAGGAGATGGGGGAGAAGGTACAGAAAACAAGTAGCATAGACAGTAGATAGAAAATAGATGGGGGGGGGCAAGAATAGCATGGGAAATATAGAACCTAAAGGACTTGAGACACATGGACATAAACTAAAGGGGGGAAATGGTGGGGTTGGGGGGGCAGGGTGGAGGGGAATGAAGGGGGGAATAGAACAACTGTAACAGCATAATCAATTTAAAAAAAAATAAATTAAATTAAAAAAATAAATAAATAACTGGACAAATAGTTATTGAATGCCAATTCTCTTTTAGCACTTTCTAAAAACATATGGCCTCTTAGAATGAGAGAGACCATGGGGACAGGTAGGACATAGGTGCTGTGACCACACAGGAGGAGAGATGTTGGACAGGGGATTAGGGGAATCCTGAAATCTCTAAAACAACTTACACTGTTTGCTTATTGGTTCCTAAAGCGAAAGGTTCTCTGAGCACACGACCTACCTGCTGGGTCTGTGGCCATGGAGGGGACCCCATGGTCTTCACCTTCTGCAGAGCCGCCATAGCTTTGCCAGCAGTTTTCTCAGAGCTCTCTTCACATCCTTGTTCCTCAGTGTGTAGATGAAGGGATTGAGGGTAGGGGTGATGATGGAGTAGAAGAGGGAGATAAACTTGCCTTGCTCTTGGGAGTAGCTGGATGGGGGCTGCATGTACATGTAGATGGCAGGAAGGTAGAAGAGGGAGACCACTGCCAGGTGGGAGGAGCAGGTCCCAACAGCCTTGTGCCGAGCCTTGGAAGACTGGATCTTGAGTACCACCAGGACGATGAAGCTATAGGAGAGCAGGATGAGCACCATGGGGACCAGTGCAAAGAGGGCTACCACCATGGGGACCAGCATGGCCAGTGTGGCATCATTCACAGTGGTGTCAGCACAGGACAGTTTGATCATAGCTGACACCTCACAGAATAATCTGTCTAGCACCTGCTGCTCACAGAGAGGCAACTGCACCATCAAGACTACCTGAACCAGGGAGTTGTAAAAGCCACTTAGCCAAGCCACAGCCACAGGCTGCTGAAAAAGAGGGCAGTGCATGATGAAGGCATTTTGCAGTGGCTTACAGATGGTCATGTAGTGGTCCTGAGCCATGGCAGCCTGCACAATGCACTCGGTGCCTCCCAGCCAGTGGAAAACCACATACTGCACTGTGCAGCCCCTGTAGCTGATGGTCTTCTTGGAGCTTCCCAGGTTGACCAGCATCTGGGGGACTGTGGTGGTGGTATAGCAGAGGTCCAGGAAGAAAGGGTGGCTGAGGAAGAAGTACATGGGGCTGTGGAGCTCGGGGTCCAGCTGGGACACAAGGATGATGGCAATGTTCCCCAATGTGGCAAGAACGTAGGACACCAAGAGGACCACAAAGAGAGGGAGTTCCAGCCATGGCTTGCCAGAAACACCCAGGAGGATGAAGTCCCTGGGAGGACCCCCCAGGAAGCTCTGGTTGTCAGCTCTCATGGTGAGGCATTTTCTGGCACCTGTGATGAATCAAAAAAGTTGGAAGGAGTGAATGAAACCTGAGAAAGGAACTGTCTTCCTCAGTCTGTGACTGCGCTTCCCCACAAAGGCGTCACTTGACTTTCCTCCAGGGAGACATTGAGATGTGGGGCAGAGGTCAGAACCAGGGGGCAGAACAGCTGTGGATGTGTCCTGCTTTTCCTCCTACTCTGTGATCTTGACTATGCCTTTTAATCTGTCTGAACTTCAATGCCTGCACCTGAAACAAGGGCAGAGCATTCCTGCTTCAGCCTTAGAGTCTGGCATGATATAGGGACATTTCCTTTGTAAAAGCATAGTGTGTAGACATTATCTTCTGATTCTGTCAAAGTCTGCCATAGCTCCATCACCATTAGAGTATTTGTCTTGTCACTACGCACACATTGACGAGGAATTTACCACTTTTCTTAGGTTCTCTCATTTTGCATTATGGAGGTGGGGGTGGGAGGGAGGTGAGAGGTGGCATGAGGTGAGCTTAAGGGCTCTATGTAAGCAACTGGGGAGCCCTTACTCTGAACAGACCCTGGCCCTCTGGGCCACCCCAGTTGCTCCCTCCATCATCCTCAAACACAGACAGCACTGTCCCTCACTGTGGCAGCAAGGGAGCACTGTCTGACACCGTCTGAGTCTCCAGGGGAAGGAGCTCAGTCACTCCCTCCCCTGACTTGATCATGGCACCTGTGTGACCTCAGAGGAGAGGCTTTGAGCACAGGGCCAAAAATGTTGATGCAACAAGGAACAGAGCCCCTGGTGTTGGCTGCTGAAGGGTCAGATGCCCTCCAGGCCAGTTTGGACATTTGAATTCCCTGCACAGCTTCCTCTCCGAGTTGGAAAATACAACGATTTGGTTTCGGCCTCCAACCACCTACACTCTCCCCAGGACTGTACTCCCTCAAGTTCGTCATGGGGATGATATAGTCACGTAGGCCTGAAAGTACATTGAATCCTGTCCGCAGGTCATTTGTGACACATTCATTGTTAGTGTTTTATTTGGTGCTTTTTGCAAAAACTATGAAATGCTAGGAGATCTGCTCAGGTTGGGTGCTGCAACAACCCCCCCTTCCTAGATTCTGAGGAACTCTAGGACTATTTGAAAACAACTCAAACTCTGGGGCTTAAAAGGGTAAAAATGTGCAAATTGCCTTTCTTCCTCTGTTGTTTTAAAACTACATACCATTTGCTAGCAAGTCCCATATTCTTGTGGAACACCCAGTTATTGCAATTCTTCCAACTATTCTATTAAAAATACATCTAGAGTAAATCTTAGAGAATCTGATTATTTTACCTCTAAAGGGAACACAGGACCCTGCTGCTGATTTAGTGTGCCAGGCAGGGCAAAATCAGAACAGTCCACTTTTTATGATTAAAAAGCAATTATGCCATTTCTCTTTCTTAAATTACTGATTCCAAGATTTCTTCTCAGGGTCTAAACTGGGCAAGAAAAGGAAATGTTGCAGAGATAAGGAGGAAAGATAAAAGGATGACGGGACTAAGAAAGTTAGAGGGGTAGATATAGGCCACACATGAAAAATACAAATTACCAGGCACTAACCATGAGCCAGGTGCTGTGATAACACCTTCATAAAGTATCTGAGTTTGTCCTTTCATGACTCAGTGACATGTGTGTCTTTTACCCCAGTTTTACTGTGATCAGAGTGGTGTGGGGATGATAGCTGGTCTCCCTTAGTTTATTCACACAGGAGGGAGCAGCAAAGCCAAGACTGAAAGCTAAGGTGTAGCTTTTCACCATTATTCTCTCCAGCAGCTTGCTTTTTAAAAGGCAGTTGATGAAAAGCATTAGTGCAAATGGCTGAGGCAGAGAGAAGGCCTGAAAGAGGAGAGTTACATCACCAGAAGGAAAGGAGCACAGGAAGCCCGGAGAGGCATTTTGTAATTTCCAGTTCAGTGTGCCAGGCACATGTGGGTGCATGTGCACACCAACACACACCCTCCTCACACACCTGCCCACCAGCATTCAGCCCTTCCCACATGGAGCTCTGCTTCGGATCCAGCCTCCGCACTCCCTTGTCCCTCTTCTGTCTTCCTACTCCCCAACCAGAGATGTTTTCCAAGGCGCTGCCTCACTTTTCTGGGTGAATACGATCCTTCCTGAGTCAGCCCTTCACAGAATCCTTCCAGGGCCATTTCCAGCTGTCAGCTCTTCGTTGATCTCCAGCCTTCCTCCTGATGTTGTTGTGGAGTAGGGAGGGTGGTGGTGGGGAGACGGCGGTGGCATCATACGTTGAATTGCCAGCCATTCCTCCAGCCCCCCCAACCCCCCCACCAGGGCCCCCTTACCCCATATCTGACCAGCCCCTTCAACCTCAACTCTGCTGCCTGTGCATCAGTCACCCTGACTCAAAGCAGCCGAGTGATTTCTAACAACGTTCTACTCCTCCCTCACCACATTTCACCAGTGGCTGTGGCCTAGGCATGGCTGTGTACACCCTCACCCCAGCTGTCCTGGGCAGGCAGCACCCTCCAGACTCCTTAGCACCCACTATCTCCCTGCAGGAGTCCCCTCCCTGTCCCAGCCATTACTCACCTTCACAGCACAGTTGCCTTTCTCAGAGTCAAGGCTTCAGAGCAAAGCTGTCCTTGGGACTGCCAGGTGCCTAACACAGAAGAAGGCCATCTCTGTAGACAGTCCCGTGGTGAGAGTAGGGACTGCATTCTTCCCATGTGGCTCCCTGGCAGTCTCTTCTGACACAGTCACACCCCGTGGATCACTTTCATGGCCGTCCTTACACCAGCCTGCTGGCAGGCCAGGCTGTGAACATATGGATGGACCTGTGGTGTATATTGTTCTCTGTGACTTAGAATCCTTGGGACACGTGCAAACATGTCATCCTATTGCCTGATATTTGACAGAGCACCTCATTTGCTCCAACAAACAAGAATGGAAATCTGGAAATAAGCTCATGGGGAGGGAAAACAATGAGGAGTTTATGGACTTCAATTGTCTCTTAGCTCCAAAGACCTCTCCCTTGGACCTCAAATTCAGCCTGAATCTGTTGTCCAGATGAGACGGGAAGGCCCAGTTTAACTGCTGAGGCTGTACATGTGGCAGGTGAGGGAGGTGGGGTCCTGAGGACAAGGCTAATGATGACGATACTTTTCTTCATGAGTATTAACAGGGGCCCTTTCATCACAAAAAGAAACAAGTCTTTTTCTCATGAGCAGTGTGTCTCCCTTGTCCAGGTCATGAGCTGATTGTTGGAAGTTCTGATCACAGTAAAGCCAAGAAGCTGGCACACTAAGGGTCTGCAAGTACCATGTGCACTGTGTCCTGCTTGCTGTGATCTGTTCTCGCTCACCCTGTCTTTCTGGGCCCACTGCATCCTTCTCCCTGGAGTGACCCCTCCCTGTCCAGGGCACCTGGATTCTACTTGTAGCTTCCTCCAAAAGTACCCTGGCTGATTCCCCACCATGGACCATCCTTTGGGGTCTCCACGTGAGAGGTTTTGAGGAGCACTGACAACTGTATCTTCACAAGATGCTGAGGCATAATTTTTCAAAGGGCTTTCATTTCAGACATTAAACAACATCTCCCTAACAAATAGCAGGAGAAGGGCAGTGAGCCAGCACTGGAGCACCGTTTGTCAGCCTGAGCGCCAGGCACTAGGGACGCAGGCAGACTGAGACTTCAGATGGGTTGGGGTCTTAGTCCTCCTCGAGGTGAGTTCAGGGGCATGAATCCAGGGGCTGAGCCATTGAAGCCCCCATTGCTGGTTCACACAGGCAGACATTACCTCCTCACAGGCCCCAGATGTGTAACCTGTGATCCCATGTACGTGTGTGACTTTTCGTTAAACACCCTGTGAAGCTGACATGTTTATGTCTTGTCAGCTTAAGAACTTGCCTAAAGGGAAACTTAATAATGTGCTTTATCATTTGCTAGTAATTTCCAATATGTTGAATTTTACTGCTTGTGGAGATTGTAACTTCCTAACAAACAAGTATCTATCTTACATGTTGTGTCATTCAGAGCACTTAGAATGTGTGAGTAATGCAATTAATTCATGGAATGATTACTGATTTTGTTAACAAACAGCTCCTTGTTCTGTATGGCACGTAGCATCCCAGGCCCATCTGTGGTTCTCCCTGGTGGTGGTGGAAGAAAAGGAGAGGAGGAGGGGCTGGAACACAGTAGGGTCAGCCTCCAGGACCCCAAGGACAGGACACAAACCACAAAAGGAGTTTGCCAGCCCCTGTAAGCCTCGCCTGTCACTGAGACAGGGACAGTCCCCTCCTGCACATGCCAGCTCCCCACTCATATTCCATTGCCTTTGTTCTTTAAATATTTCAATTAGCTGTGAAAATTCAGCTCAATGCCTGCTTTCTCTGGGGAGGGTACTATCTGCATTACTCACTCTGTTCCTCTCATTTTTACAGCCATACTGAGCTTCATTTGGTATTACGGTGGTGTTTTAGCATTGCCAAAAACACCAAGGAGCTGCAGACGCGAGGCTCAGGGCTCTTACACACCTGGGCAACATCCATCCTCCTGATGACTGTTACAAGGTCTACCTAGAGGCAGGGACAGCATGTACCACTCCTGCTGTCTTCTAGTCTGGAGTACACAATTTGACACGTGCTGCTGCTTCATGCATGGCCACTGTCCTCCATGTCCGCTTGGTCTCCAGCACAGACCAGCACTCATATTGCTCTGCCCTGACCCACCTCTACTGCATTGTACAGACTTTCACTTGTTTGGAGCAGAGGACTAAGCACTTACCTCCATGGTCTCCAGCTCCCAGTGGATTGGGTTAAGGAACAAAGGCAGGCCGTGATGGTCATAGCTGGGGAGGGGCATCTAGGGATGGGTCATCGGAAATGCTCTTTGTATTCTAATGGAAGAAAAGACATAACTCGTTTGCTCAGATGAGGCTGCTGGGACCCTGCCCTTACCTGAGCCTCACTTTCTGAGCAGTGTGGAGAGGCTATTCTCAGTCTAGAAA